CGGATTCGTCCTTATGTTGTTTAGTGCGTAGCAGAAAGTTTGGAAGTGTAAAATTTGGCCGAAATGATTGACAACATGCGATGGCAATGTGAACTTTGTTAATCAATTTGAAGTTGCGATTAGCAACGATTGTCAAGATTTTCAGATAATCAGAACAATGGTCTATTATTAATTACACCATTATTATTTTAACTTGTATTTAATCACCTACTAGAACAACACGGTGTGAGGACAATTAATTTATCGATTGTCTTTTATTTTGCCATATTTCCTATGTAAGATCGTTACAATAATGTTCAACAATGATATATCGTGTCAAAGCAAGCAATACTTTTTTTTCTGTCTTTTTTTCTCATTAGTACAAGCAAGCAATTTGTTATTGAGTTGTGAAAGAAAGAATCACCAGTCTAGCTAGGTTGCTTACGGAATATTACTTTTGCGGCCCCCTACATTGTTTTTGCCTTCTTCTAATTGTCCTCATCGGATCTCTATCACTCAATCTGCTAATTATTTGCGCTATAAACCCTAAAATTAACTTTAAATTAATGGACTGCTTCCAAATTTCCCTTGTAATATAAAACCGTCTACGTGCATTCTGTAAACGTAATTAAGAGCTTAATCACATGTGATAATCTAGATGCAAAAAGCTTACCGGAAACCGGTTGGGCGATGCGTGCTTGCATGAAGCAACTGCTACATGCATAATTAACAGTTACGTAATTTGTTGCTGAAATGTCATTTTCTCTCCCACCCAATGACTGCAAATAATTAATTAATTAGAAAATTAGAAGGTGGTCTTAATTAGTCAATTATCGTTTGATTGCTTATGTATATTGCATTGTTTATTATCTGATTAGAACACACAACCAGCAGTCTTCATAAACTCTCTCTCTCTCTCTCCCTTTCAATAATTAGCATCATATATTTGTTAATTTTATCAGAATAAAGAGTAATTTTGTTCATCATTGATCGTAATATACATATATATTTATTTTGAAAAAAAAGGGACAACTGATGGTAAACCATGGTTATTCACTCATATTGGGGTCGGAGGAGGTTAATTGGGAATTACACCTTACTCGTGACCACCGTCAAGCAGATCCACAACTTACAAATTATCAAACCCTCCCTTTTGAGAGCTGCCCTCAAACATTGTATGGGACCATCGACTCGTTGGTTCGCATTCTTTTTCTTTGGGGTTTTCTTCAAACCAGCGAGGCAAATTGGAAATAACCGACTAATTTATCGGGATTCAAGACCCCATGATTAATTTGCTTTTGTCTTTTAGCTCAACAAACTATTTTTTTTGTAAATGAAAATCTTATTGTTATTTTAGACCACGTATAAAAAATCTCCCACGTAAAACTTTTAATTGGGACCATGAATATAAAATCTTCACGTAGAAACATACAAAAACCCTAACTGTGGCCTTCAGCATTATAGTCGGTCCGGGTCAGCTTGCGTTCAACAGGAAGTTTCCAACGCGGCCTCACTCGCTACAGTCCGTACCATTATATGGTCACGGCGAGTACACGGGTATTAATTCTATCAAAATTTTCCACTCATGTCCCACGCAGATAACAATTCATACAGGTACCGTTTGGTATGTGGGACGGGACGGAATGAAATAGGATGAAGCATTCCGTCTCACGTTTGATGCGCTTAAAACGGGTGGAGCATGCTGTTCCATCGGACGAATTTTGGATGAATTTTCGTTTCACCTCAACCTCTGGAACGACTCGTTCCACATTCGTAGAACACAAAATTATAACCTCTCCGTCTCCTTCTTTTTCCTCATTGTTTCCATCCGAGGGCATCTTTGCTCCCTCTCCGTTCTATCCCGTCCCGTTCCGTCTGCATACCAAACGATACCACAAGAAACCATTGTACATGGACAAATGTCTTGGACAAAATATCTTAATCCGAAGACATTTGTCCATGTATAATGGTTTTTTGTATGAATTGTTATCTGCGTGGGACATGAGAGGAAAATTTTGATGGAATTAAAACTCGTGTACTCGCCGTGACCATTTAATGGTATGAATTGTAGCAAATGAGGTCGAGTATTGGAAGTTTCCCGTTGAAACACAAATTGTGTGGAAATTACCGAGACTGTAAAACTTGCCCGACTTTTTCCTGATACAAATAATAATTTACTTTAAACTAAAGTGAGTGGATAGAGATTTGACCTCAAATGCATAGAGAGTTTACAGCACCCACACTTGCATGTTTAGACATTAATTTTTAGAATATGTATCTAACTTATCCAAATATTTTTCTAGTGCATATCACTAAATACATCTTATACACACACCTGAATAATAGCCGTTAGATTGAAATTGACGGACATGATGAATTATTTCGTTTATACTTGCAACCGGGTGTAAAAAAAAAAAAAAAAAAAAAAAAGGTTTTGACTGGAAAAAAGAAAAAATTTCCCCGTACCTATGGGTACTGTAAGTCTAACCTTTCTAACGTACAAGGATTTGCAGGATGTAAAGCTCAGAAAACACAATTTTCCCACAATACGTGTAATGAATTGAATTCACGCCCATGGTGGCAGTGGTGGGGGCGGCATGAAATGGTGGCATTTGTGGGAGCCGCCGTGAGCAGACCCAAAATTAGGTTGGTGATTTGGAGGGTTCAAATTTTGGTGGATGTTTGAAGTCCAATTTCAAAACACATAAAATCTCAATCTGAGTTTTACGCTTTTGACCAGGAAAGGATTTCTTTGTTCCTGGAACTCAGAATGGACGGATTGGAAATGACCACTCGGGTTGTAACTCTTCTACTGGGTCAAAAGAACCCGGTTGTAACTTGAGCTACATTTCCATATTAGCCGTTGAGATTCATCTAACGGCTAACAAAAAAATTGTGTAATTAGCCATGTACACTAGAGAAGCCCTCCTAATTTGTCGCCTTAACCCGACCCAATTGCCCTCTTAGTTCTTTTCTTTCAGGCCCATACATCTCGGTTTTTTTTTATAAGAAAAACCCAAATTCTCCGTTCTTTTTGTTTTAAACCTCTAGGAAAGAAAAGGAATGGACCATAGACTACTAGACCCAATACAAGTCGTATACAGTGCACAAGGCTCCCGCTTTACGCAGGGTCTGATAGAGGTGAATGTCGGCTAGCCTTACCCCCATTTATGGAGAGGTTACTCCCAAGTCTCGAACCCGAGACCTACCGCTCATGGGCGAAGGCACTTGTCATCGCACCAAGTGCGACCTCTTACCAGACCCTATACAAGTATTGACACAAAATGCCACAAGCAGAATTATAATGCAGCAACTTTGAAGCCTTGTGGTCATGCAAATCGCCATCACCACCAGAATCAAGCTGGCACCTGTCATCGTAATCACGCAGATCTGCAACCGTACCCTCCCCCCCTCCGGCCCTCTGGCCAATCTGCTGTGCAACTCTTAGAAACTCATGCCCTATGACAGACGATGCGCCTTATAAATCTAAGGAACCTACCTCATTTCGATAGGGTCTTATATCAAAGCCCTCTCTGCTGCAGTGACCATCAAGGCCCTTCACGGTTTGTAAAGAGGAAGACTAAAACGTCATAGAACTCAGCGGTGAGTTCTCTTTTCTCTCACTCATTCTCTCTCCCTTTGTTATACAAATCTTTGGAATATTTTGCCTTTCGAAGGTACGATTGTAATAGGACGAAGTCATGGCAAGGAGCAATGCAGTTTCATGGAACCTCATTTTCTTGGCTACGGGGTTTTTTAGTTATGTAGCTGTTGAAGCTACCAGAGAAGGGATTCAAGGGAGGGCTCTGATAGACAAGAGACTTGGTTTGGAACATGGGATAAAGAATTGGCACGGTGAGGAGGCTACTTCTTCTCAAGGGCTGAAAGTTGATGGTTACGGAGGTTATGGCTCTGGTGGTGGTGGGGGCTTTGGTGGTGATAGTGGCGGCGGCATGGGGTATGGTGGTAATGGTGGTGGATTTCATAATGGCGGAGGATTTGGTAATGGCAGTGGAGGAGATGGCGGAACTGGGGCAGGCACAGGCCCAGGTTATGGTGGTGGGGTGGGTGGTCATGATGAGAAGATGAACAAGGTCCATGGAAATATTCGGTGATTTTACTAGAAAAGATAAAATAACTATATTCCAATTTAGAATGGCTATGGGGACAAGAAGCAAGAAAAAACAAATAAAATGTCGTAGTTCTCTTCTATAGTTCTTAGTTTGCCATCTTTATAGCTGTAATTCAAAAGTATTTCCCCCTTGTATCGGTAATATAGCGGTTACATGGAATAAAGTTAGTTTGGTTTGTATACAAGGTGTGTTGTTTCACTTAAGCAGAGAAGGATGAAGGGCAGGAAGAACAGATGTTACACACCTCACACAGTTCAGACAATGGCATAATTCGAAGCCTAAATTGCAGAAGAAAAAAAATCAACTAAAAACGTTGTAAAAAGTATATATGTCAATAATTTAACTTCAACCGCAAGGAAATGACAGTGCCAAGTAACAGAGACAAATCTCATCCATGCATAACATAATTTGTACTGGGAACTAAGAAATGACCCTGTTCTTGGAGGGTTAAAGAGTCAAATAGAATATTGGAGGGGTTAAAGAGTCGGTACGCAGTTCTCGGACAATTGGCAAACGACTCCCTTGCGTGTATGGTGGTGGATATAGAAGGGAAGAAACAACAAATGTTTTGAGAATAGCACCTGCGGTTTGGAAGATCAAGATGCAGAACAATGCTGTCATTTCAATGTAATGTTGAGTTCATAAAGCTACAATGGATGCTAAGATTCCTCATCATTGAATGTACGAACGATGCTAAGTCCGTGTGACTCGTGAAGAACTAGGAACTACAAGATAAGAAAAGCAAGACATGGGATAAATCCGAACCATATTAAGAAGCAATTAGCTGGAGCATTTTAAAACAACGGGATTATCAGTCAAGACAGTAAAAACAGAAAAATGCGTCTTCAGAAACAATGCAGATCACCGACAATATAAGATACAACAACATTACAACAACATGAATACGCTCATACGTTCTCATATTTCATTTCACACACATTGCCATTTTATTCTTGTTTTTTTTTTTGGGAATTTCCGCCCCTACTTAGTGCGATAAGGCGCTGATGTTGTTGATAATGGTGTTTATATATCTTGGTTGTATTTCCATCAATTTTCCAGAATCGAGACAAGTGAAAACAAGTACACAGATATGGATAGCTACACAAATTAATTATATTAACAGAGGGAGAGAGATAACAGAAAGTCTAGTACCACTTGCCACACTCTCAACAGTTGAGAGCCGTTGGATACCTGCACATACATGGCCACGGCCATTCGCCAACCGATCAATCGTGTCCCTCAGATCTCACCGCCGCAGCATATTCATCATCCAGCTCACTCTTCTCAATCCCTTCCCAATCATCCTCGTCACTGAAATTTCCCGATTTAAACTCACTGGCCGCCACGTGTGCCTTCTCCTTAGCTTCATCGGAATCCGCAACCCTAACCTCCTCCGATTGTTCGGCAACGACTTCGTTTCCTGCTGATTTCGCGCCAATTTCTTCCACTTCGCTGTTATCCGAGCTTCCGCGATCAAACTCCATCGCTTTCTCCACCGAAAGCTTGTCCCCGCCATCCGACGACTTCTCCGGCAATCCAACCGCCGCTGACGACTTCTCCGGCAATCCAACCGCCGCTGACGACTTCTCCGGCAATCTAACCTCCACCGACTCTTCCTCCAACACCTCCTCCGGCAATCCGCGGCCTTCTCGACGATCCTGCAGTGGCTCTGCAATCTCCTCAGCCCGATGAACCGTTTCCCCTTCGAATCGAAGGACATTCACTTGTCCGACAAACTCCACGCTCCTCTGACTGCGAAAAGCCCCTTCCACTTTCAGCCTCCTCTCTTCGAAGCTGACCTCCTCCGCACCAACTCCTTCACCGCCGCCATCCCCGAATTCCGGCTCCGATTCCCGGCCAGCAACCGCCATGGCGACGAGCTTGGCGACGAGGAACGAGAGGATCAGAGCCAGCGACGCCGTCAGAAACAGGTCCTGGACGAGCTCCATGGTGATTAATTACTACAGTCCAAAATTCTGCAAACAGCGAATTGAAATCGAAGGATGAAAACAAAGAGAGATTAAAAGCGATTGGGCGATGAGTTTTAAAAGTTAATTAATAGTAATAAGTCATAGGTGAGCAAAGGGAAAGGGATATTTGCAGAGCAGAGCGAAGCATATTCTGATGTTTTATTATTGCTTTTTTCGCTGCTTTGCCTTGCCCCTGCCTCACTTTTTCTGACGGACACGTTTCCGTTACCTATTGGACGTGGTCAAATTGTCCATGCACTTACAGTCCTTGTGAAGCTACTTCTATCGACTCTGTATCGTTTCAGACCAATAATACAAGTTATAACTTCCTTATTTAGTTAATAATTGGTTTGATATATAGTTCTTTGGATGTTCATATTTTATACACGTTTTTCTTGTGAAGTAAGAAAAAAGTTTAGATTAATTGTTTAGTCTGTTTGATAAGACGTTAACAAATGTATAATACGAATTTTAAAGAATTATTATTAGCATTCTTAAATTTCAACTGCACTTCTTAAAAGTGTTTTTTTATTTATAAATATAGAAAGTTTAGAATGATAAATAAGAATTTTAAAGTACCAATAATAATTTTATTTATTATTAAATAATATAAAATTAATTAAAATTAAAACTAGAAGATATAATAACGTTTTAATATGCGTATTGATATTGTATGACAAAAATAAAAAATAAAGAAAAAAAGTCTCGCAGAGGGTAAGCTTTTTGGAGGTCAAATTTGTCTTTTTATTGATGCGTTTTCGTTCTTATCCTGCCCCATGCATTAAATGTGGGACGGCGGGCACATAGTGATCGGTGGGTATTTGGAGGTTTGAATAACGGTTGGTGGAGTCATGTGAATTGTTGCTGCGCCTTTTTATCTTCGGCACAGGTCGTGGTCAGCTTGGTGGACTTAGGATTTCGACCTTTGGGAGGGGGAGGGCACCCACTCACTCAAAGAATCAGGGTCTTTTTCTCACTTTTTCGACTTTACTTTTGGGACTCAAGGAATCAGCCAATCAGATCATTAAGGTGGGGCTCTCTTGGGCTTTATAACTCGGGCCTTCTTTTGAGCGAGATAAGTTGGGCTAAGAGATGGGTTCTATCGGGTCAAGGTGTGAAGTGATGTGACGAAGTGCTAAAAATTGGGTTGTATCCGACGAGATGATCAATAAAGGTTAATTTATGTGTAGATATACGTTATTTGTGGTGATGAGTGGTGATGTTTGTGTTTGTGATGGTGATATATGGAATATGCATGGCACCTTCAATAAAATTGGAAATGTGCATTGTCGAAGTGAGGTTACAATGGATGCTTGAGCGATTTATCGTTCCTTCTCTCTCTTGGGTGGCATGGGATCTATCATATATAGGAGAGATTTTTTAGCGTGCCTAGAATACGGACACACAAAAAAAAAAATCTCCACTTGTATAATAAAGTATAACATACCAACTTGTGTTCTAGACACATTAAAACCTCTTAGAGTGTATCTATCTACAAGTATATATAGGCACTGCAATTTGTTGTGAGCTCCAGCTGTACAAGTATCACTAATGGCATAGCACTACGTGTGGTATGAATTCGTTTGTTTTTTAACAAGCAAACGATAGGGTGAATTGAACTCCAAAAAAAAAAAAAAAAAAAAACGATAGGGTTCATTTGTCAAGAGTCTCTAAATGAAACATTTTATAGATTATGGTGATCAAGAGTCAATCTAAATGAAACATTTTAAAGATTATGGTGAAAACAAATTGTTTGGTTGGTATGGCGTGAACAAAGACTTTATTACATTTCAAGATATTATCGTAACATCTCAAATTAATAAAATGATATCAATGAAAAATGTTAAAAACACATGACATTATATTGTTTTTTTAGGACGTGGGCATTCCGAGAGCGTAGGTTAAGTGTGAACAGGCCAAGCTGACCTAAAGGCTGAGGGGAAGTTTCTTGGTAGGCCTTGGATATATGTGGTTTCTTTTCTGGCTCCAACAATACCTAATTGATGAGAGTGATCTATATATGTCCTTTTCATCATCTCAACTTCTTGGCCATTCTTAAAACTAAAAACATTCTTCTTATTCTAGCAGCAGCATTAACCCTGTCCCAGAATCATTCAGAGACCAAGAAGAAGAAGAAGAAGAAGAAGAGAAGAAGAAGAAGAAGAAGAAGAAGGAGAAGCCATGGGAGGAGGCAACGGCCAGAAGTCGAAGATGGCTCGCCAGAGGAACATGGAGAAGCAAAAAAATGCTGCCAAAGGTACTCATCGCCCCTCCCATCTTCTCAGTTTGGTTTTTTTTTCAGAAACTAAATTGTGAATATATGGTCTATTTATATGAATCAAGAGACGTTAGTTGTGATGAATTCATCTTAGAATTCGATTTCTTTGTGTTCTCTAACCCATATTCTAGGCCACAAAACTGAAATATAGCTTCAGAAAGAGGGAATATATGAGTTAGTAAACGATTTGTGTATCTCTTGACACGCAGGCAGCCAGCTTGAATCAAACAAGAAATCAATGACAATTCAGGTAAATGAAGCTAATTGGCACCGAAATTTCATTCTAGTTTGGGCATTTGCGTTGTTTCTGATGCGAGGTACTGACTGATGATTGCAGTGCAAGGTGTGTATGCAAGTGTTTATTTGCACCACGAGCGAGGTGAAGTGCAGGGAGCATGCAGAAGCAAAACATCCCAAATCTGATGTGTACACATGTTTCCCTCATCTTCAAAAATGAAAAGTTCTCGACCAGAAAAGAATAAATTGTAGAAATGTGTGTGAAGTTCACTGTGGAGGTTCTGCATAAAGATCCTTCCTAGACTCTTGGATGTTAATTAGCTGAAAGCTATTTGGGGAATATGTTATAAAAGTGCTTGTTTGTTGGTTGATTGAAGGTTGTTTCTGGAAATTCGATTGTTGTTTTAGCATGCATATGGACCAACATAATCCGAAATCTAAAATATGCCAACCAAAGAAAACAGGTTTTGAGTGAACATCACAATTATGTGTTCGGAAAAGAAAGAATATCGTCATTAAAATTTCAAATAATGAATGTAATGAACAACCTAAGTTAGGTAAATATCTTCCTTCAGTGATTATTACAGGCTACAAGGAAAGACAGAGGATAAAAGTTTTTTTACCAAAGGATTCAATTGGAGTCTGGTGTTACTGCGTCTGTATCCAGCTATTTTCTGCACTTCTCACTTGGGAGAAGTATGCATGATCCTGAAACATGGAATACTTTAACCTATTATTTTCAAGTATAACGATAGACCCTGAGCATGTGCAAAATGTGAAGGTACCCGATGGTGACAATTTTGTTTTGTGCTTAACGGTTGAACATAATATGGAATTCAACCACTTAACATTATGTATCTGAGCAATAATATAGACATATGTTAAACTCGCATGAAGGAAAACGAAAGGGAATGAAATGAAACAGCAGTTAATCTTAAATAATATACCATTGCTTCTCTTGCTGTAAGCCTTTCCTGGTGATCATATCGAAGAAGCTTATCTAGAAAATCAATGGCCTGGACATCACGAAAAAAAGGACCAAATAATCACCAGTGAGCAAAAGAAGATGAAGAAGGAAAAAAAAAACCCAAAAGAAAAATACCTCTGGAGAAACCAGATGCTGATTTTCTGCATTGATAAATCTTGACCATGGCTTCTTATTGTGCCTAAATCAGAATAAAAAAGAAGGAAGAATGTTGTTTGTCCACGAAATATTTGTTTGTCCACGAAAAGAAGGCGACATCAGAAAAAATAAAAAGACGAGAAATTCATTTTACTGTATACATTTGGTGATACAGCCACGAAGTTTAACATCATCTGACGAAAAGACAGACAAAGCGATGCCTTTTCTTTCAACCATAATGATTAATCATTGAATGAGAAGTATACCTTCCAACAAGAGCCTCGAGCTGAGGATCAAGCACAAGGTTATATTTATTCAAATATGCATTTAATTCGTCTGTTCCAAGAACCTGAAGAAGATTTCATCTACATAAGATAACAAGTTATGTGAATATGGACACTCTAATGCTATATTTCTGACGGTTTGTGAAACCCCAGTGCTGCAAGGATATAACAGTAAATGTATGTCAACTTACAGACAAAATGGAAAACTCAACAATCTTGAGGCAACTTTTAAATTAGTTTTGGTGTATTGAAGGGCTAAGACATATAGATTATGGATTGCCTATACTAAGATCTTCGAGCCAAGTATGAAACCAAAAATACCTTAGCAATTTTCGCTAGCTGGTCCTGATTGTCACGACCATAGAAGAATTGTTCCTTGCGAAAGATCTGCAAGGAAGAGAACACTTTGTTTCCGTCATGATCAACAAAATGTAGCAGCTAGAGAAAACCTGAATACACAGTAACAACAGGGAAGCGTAAACCCTCACCATTCCTGCAAACATACAGCCAAGGCTCCACAAGTCTAACGAATAGTCATAATCTTGCAAATCCACAAGGAGTTCAGGCCCCTTATAGTGCCTGATAAACAGCATTCAAATTTATAAACATTCTGCAAAGCAAACAGAGAATTCACACGTTGACAATGTAAGTTGGCATTAAACTAACTATAAACCCTTTTGCCATCAGACGAATCTGTTGGTAATAAACTTTAGTCTCGCTGCAAGTTGTGTTTGATAACTGTTCGAGCAATAACTGCACAAGGCATCATCTTCTTCACAGTCCCTACAACTATTATATCCTTAGTTTATCTCAGTCCCTCCGACTATCATTCAAGTTAAAGAAATTATGTCCATGTTTACTCAACTTATGAAGATTCTTGCCCGAGTTGTCCAAATTTTGGGTTGAATGGGTTGATCCAACCCAAGTCCTACACTCCTACTTGTAGAGGAAACAAAAGAATGCAAAAGATACATGTCTTTCAAGAATCTAGAAGAAAAGTAACAATTCAATACCAAAGTTAAACGATCAAAGAGATTCCACCTTGAAGCTACCCGGACATGGTACTCCTTGCCAGGATGGTAGAATTCAGCGAGACCCCAATCAATCAAGCGAAGTTTTCGGAGCTCATGATCGATCATAACATTGTGAGGCTTGACATCTCGATGCATTATGCCCTGCGAATGGCAGTAATCCAATGCCTGCAATTAGGAGACCAGCTTTTGATTAGCTACGTTTGCAGCAGCTAAACCAGGACAAGTCAGAATCATGACATTCTTTCACACAATTAAAAGACGGATTGCTGCCAGCAAAAGCATGTGTACCGAAGTGGTTAGAAAATTAATTGTTTAGCAAGAGGATCAGATGACAAAACCTTGAGAAGTTCATATATATAGTAGCGAATGTCATAATCCGTCAGTGTGGGGTACAACACTTTGAAATCTATACTGTTCACATATTCAAAGATCAAGCTAGGAGTTTTTGAATGTTCATCTCTAACAATATCAAGCAGCTTCACAATATTTGTACCACCACAAAGATTCTGCAGTATCTTTATCTCCCTTTTAATCTGCATGAATACCAACAAATTATTGTATCTCAGTTAAATTAGATAAGGAAATACAGAACAAAACAAGTTGAGCGTATCCACGGGGGAAGAAACCCCCGACGAAACAAAATGGAAAGACTGAAAATCACTCAAAGGTAGGGCAATGTATATCCTAAAGTACAGGGTCAACTTAAGAATTCGCGCACCTTCTTTTTCTTGACGGGTTTAAGGATCTTGATAACACATTTTTCATTGTTGGTGACATTCACACCTTCAAAGACCTCACTGTATTTTCCTCTTCCAACCTTCCGAACAACCTCATAGTCACCTTGTTCACTGAGCATATGAAAAACAAACAAGAAATAAGAATTGGGAAATTGCACCTTTGAAATATCATGCTGAAAATTACTAGAAAGAATCTCTAAAATCACTTATCCAAAGAGCATTGCTTCTTAAATCACCAAAACAACGCCTTCAGACAACCAAAAGTGCTTTTGCGCTCAAATGTCCCGAGCGGGCCCCTGGCATGAGTAATTCTACAACAACTTTCGCTATCAAATGAAGTTCAATGACACGGAAATTTCAGTAGCAACAATGCAGCAAACATAGAACAAACAACATTTTTATTTTCCCTTTAAATTGGGATTTTTCTCTCAACCTATGATCTAAGAACCCTAACATTCCTGATTAACATAATCATGTCTAATTAAACAATAAAAATAATTCATTTAGTATTAAATTGCGAAGGTTATTGCAATTAGATTAGATTATTACCCCCATTGAAGAGTGTGAGATTCGTAATCCCAGTAATCTCTTGGGCGCTGAACGTTGACGTCCGCGTAGACGCGAGCCCTGGACATTGCCCTCTCTCTCTCCCTCCTTTATTTCAATTGTTATTACGCTCGAAGCTCGACGTTCAGACGGACTGGTTCATCAGGGCGGCAGATGCTTCCCGGGAAGGCGTTATGGGTTTCCGGAGTTTTATTTACCATGGGTCAACTGTAACTTATTTACCACTGGTAATTCATGTTTGACTTTTGGGCCCTTCAAACATGATAAAGTTCACGGCCCTTGAAACCTAGTCCACGTAAAACAGACAAACAAGGGACAACGTAAGAACAAAATTATCATGACATGGGCTTACGATTCTAGACCCTAACCCGCCAATAACACTTCCCCACGAACATCAACGTCGCAATCAGCGTGACACAGAAAAGGACATCGGCCCAACGGATAAACCGACATTTGGCGAATACATAATCGCGTCGGTTGAGTTAGGTGAACGCCAAAACGAGCGGTTATAGCTGAGGACGTTGAAGAGAAACAAGGCGATCAGAAAATCGTTGATAGGAGGCGCAGGCAGTTGAAGAATCCAAGAAGCTTCTCTCCGAGAGGAGAGAGGTCGGAAATTAAGGTGAGTTAATCAGAAGTTAAGGTGATTAGTTGCCTTAATTATAAATTTAATCGTCAGCTTAATTACGTGGTGAAACTTATCGATACTGTGGATCTGATTAGGTCGTCTAATGGCGTGGTGGCGGAAGATGAAGTTCCCGATGCGGAAAATCTGGAGCCGGGTCGCAACCCACCTCGGCATCCACAAATCGGGTTTGTAATTTGGATTTCATTTCATCTTTGTCGTTGAGAAAATCTCATTTCTTCTTATAATTGATGTTTTTCGAGGCGTTAGTTAATTAAGAAAGAACAGGCGTCATGCATAAAGAATCTCTGTATCGCGTAATTATAATTAATCCGACGCTTACGTTTATGGAAATTGAGATTGATTTGAATTTTGAACAGGGCTACCGAAGCTAAGACATGATATAAGAACATGCGAGTACGAGGACGTGCATGTGATGTGGAGGATGCTCAACCCTAATGACAGATCAGAGACCATTCAATTGGGAGGAGGAGGAGGAGGAGGAGAAACGGCCAAGAAGAAACGTTTTTCCAATTTGTTCGATTGGATTAAACGAACTCCATCGGTTTGCCGTGCCTTCTGATTTCTGATGTGTTTTTGGATCATATATGTGTCAATATTCTACCATGTTTCAGCTCACAAATCGTTTTCTGGAAATTATGGTGGAAGTTATATTTTGGTGTCTGTTTTGTCTTCTCCCAATGACGTCAGTGGTCGGCCGCCGGTCTGTGTTTTGTAGATATCAACGGTTCATATATGGATTCTCCTTTCTTGTTATTAAATAAACTTAACTTGATTGTATGTTTGTGTATGTTGTGTTGGACTCTTATATTTGTCTACAAGTTTTTAGTGGTACCAATTATCAAACTAGTTGAATGATAATGATGTCATGCATTTATATAAAAGAAGTCCAAAGCCATGAAAGTAAATATTAGAATAATAAGAGCATCTTTGAAGAAGACCGTCAGATTTGTCTGAAAGATTTTTAAAGTGACAGACTAGCTGAAAACACGAGGACCTTATTTTAAACAGGTAAATCAAAATTAAGAAACGAACTTCAGCATAGATTTTTGTGTTATACCGCATGTGTTATGTTCACTTGATACGCACACATGTGCTGCGTTTTGATGGAGGATAATATAAGGAGTCTCTCTATTGTATCTTAAGCGGACAAATGATGTGCCATGAACAAGCACCCTAAATTTAAGAATTACTCCTTATTTAGGCCTAATCTAGCATAAAATATGGACTGAATTCTGAACTAAGCCTCAGAAGGATTGCGTTAAATTGCCAAGGCAATTGGGCAATTGTTGCCTAGAAAACCAAAAACCTTGCTACTGCCCATACGAAACAGTCGGGTAATTACTGAGCTGCACACTGCCGGGCTGCTCATTCGGGCAAGGATTTCTTGTTGATTAAGCCCAATTGAAGGCCTGGTTGGCAATTACTCAAATACCCAATCCATGAAAAATGAGAAAAAACAGAACATCACGTGCCGGTTGGAGGACAAAGTGCCACGTTACAAGGAGGCGGCAACAATGTCCAAAACGCATCGTTTTGTGCCTAGTGCTATATAACTAACAACGTTTAGCGAATGCGAGTCTCCATCGTACTCCCGCAGCTGCAGAGCGACGCAGAAAATCCTAGCGAGCTTCAAAGATGGGACACTCGAACGGATGGAACTCTCACCCCAAGAACTACGGCCCCGGTTCCCGCACTTGGTATGATTTTTCATCCCCAAATCTCACTTATTTTTCCTTAATTATTTTGCTGATAATCGCCATTTCCTTGCTGGAGATTTAGCTTATGTATGAAAATTTACTTTGTTGAAATTATAGCTTGGTTATGCGATTGTTTATGGGTAAAAATTACCAGAGATTTTGAGTTTGTATTAGCTTAATCACTCTCAAGAATCTTAATCACGGGTATGGATTTGCATATTTTTCTACTTATTTGATGCCAGTGTTTTTATTATTTAGTTTAATTTTGGGTTTGTAAGTGTATTTGGTGGACAATGTGTGTGATATGGAAAAATTGTTTGTTAATTTGAACAGCCGAGTGTGTGGAAACCCTCATGGGTTGATCCGGAAGTATGCGCTGATGTGCTGCAGGCAGTGCTTCCGCAGCAATGCCAAGGAGATTGGCTTCATCAAGGTATGAATTCAATTTATTTAGTCATTTGTTTTGTCGAAGCGTTTATACAAAAGATTGGAATCCTGATCTCAATGACCTATTATGTTGCTTAATATATGACTCATTTGCATAATTTAATTCCTCCTCTAAGACTAGTCAATATAATTTGTTAAAGGAAATGTATTGGCAATTTGGCATGCCTTATCCTCCTTCAACATTATCGGTTGTTTTAGAAGGACTTCTACGGGTTTCCTACTTATCTAAAACACTTGTACTTGTTGTTAGTCTAGGGTTTCTTGCATTAGCATATCATTTTTTTTTCAACGGATTAGCATAGCATTAATTTATACTACTTTTTATCACACAAAACCAAATTGATGAGAATCAATCACTTGATTGACTAATTGTTCTCACTTGATTGACTAACTTTAGATTGATGTCCTCCCTTAAAACACTCTCCTGTCTATTAGTATTAATTAATTCCTACAATTCTGCCTTCATTTGATTCATATACCTTGTCTACTTGTTAATATATATATCATTTGTTTTTCAATTGAGGATAATGTTACTTCTCAATGGCCATAACACCATGTTGCCTTTCTTCCTTACACTCTTCTGGTTGGCAGAGACAGAACCAGAATCATGTCAGACAACCTGAACGATACCAGAATCTTGTCAGACAAGCTTAACGATAGCACCCGAAAACGAAAGAGGTATATCAAGCTTTATGGGAAGTGTCAATTCCATTACGAGATACACTGCGACAACAATGACAATATCTCTGAACTCACATAGGAGAATGACAGCTCCCAATTTTTAACAGCAGTGGAATTTCCCTCTTCACAACGAGAGGAGGTTAGCCACTACTCCCTTTTCGAGTCACTCATCTCGCTTTCCTCAGAGCGTATGGTGCCTCGAAGAGAGACCAAACTGGCGGAAAGCTCTTCATATTTTACCAGTAATTTGAGGAGTATCTTGATGAATGTGCACTAGACCCTTCTCTGAGCGGCATGAACAACTTTCCAATCTTCTAAAAAGCATGAGGTAACATCTTTACATCCTTCTCTAAGCAGCATATGTTGTTACCTCATGCTTTTTAGAAGATTGGAAAGTTGTTTCATGCTGCTTAGAGAAGGGTTTTGGGTTTAGTGCGCATTCATCAAGATACTTCTCAAATTACTAGTAAAATATGAAGAGTTTTCCGCCAGTTTGGTCTCTCTTCGGGGCACCATACGCTCTAAGGAAAGCGGGATGAGTGACTTGAAGAGCGTTGTGGGAGTAGTGGTTGACCTCCTCTCGTTGTGAAGAGGGAAACTCCACTGCTCTTAAAAAAATTGGGAGGTGTCATTCTCCTATGTGAGTTCGGAGATATTGTCCTTGTTGTTGTAATGGAATTGACACTTCCCATAGAGCTTGGTATCGTTGTTTCGTTTACGGGTGCCATCGTTGAGCTTGTCTGACAAGATTTTGGTATCGTTCAAGTTGTATGACATGATTCTGTCTCTGCCAACAAGAGAATAGTGTAAGGAAAAAAGACAGCATGGTGTTATGGCCATTGAGAATCAACATTACCCCTAATTGAAAAGCAAACGATGTATATATTTACAAGTAGATAGGGTATATGAATCGAATGAAGGTAGGAATTAATTAATACTAATAGACAGGAGAGTGTTTTAAGGGATGGCAGTCAGTCAATCAAGTGCTTGGTTCTCATCAATTTGGTTTTGTGTGATGAAAAGTAGTATAAATTAATGCTATGCTAATCCGTTGAAAAAAAAAATGTTGTGCTAATCCAAGAGCAGGAAACCCTAGAATAACAGACAATTACAAGTGTTATCAGTAGGAAACCCGAAGTCCTTTTAGAACAACCGATAATGTTTAAGGAGGATAAGGCATGCCAAATTGCCAATACATTTCCTTTAAAAATATATTGACTAGTCTTAGAGGAGGAATTAAATTATGCAAATGAGTCATATATTAAGCAACATAATTGGTCATTAGGATTCCAATCTTTTGGAATTAAATTATGCAAATAAGTCATATATCACCTACATGTTTTTAGGTTCACATTTTGAATTACACGTGGATAAACATATGTGTGAGTAATAACATGTCTCGCTTGATTAACTTTGGAGCATAATACTTGCTAAAAAACTAGTAATAGATATATACATATAGTGGTATATTGCATGTGTGGAGTTTAGACACTAAATCCAAATCATGGGGTCCATGTCAAAGATCTCTAGGTCCAAGAAAGTCAGTGTCGAGTTGATTTAGATGTGATCATCCATAACCTTGCATTATATTTGATTGTCAAGTTGTACCATATATATCCTAAGCACTGTACAATAAAAAAAAAGATTTAGGTTCGGACAAGGTTTTTGGCATCATTAAATCTTTGATGCGTTTTGTGTGTATTCTGTTATAGAAATCCAATTTTATAGAAAACATAAGTCTCTGGATGATATTTTCTTCAATGGATATTAGTAAGTATGCACTATGAATTTGGTAACCGTTACTTATCACAAATACACACTTATTTTTTTCTTAATATTACGTTAGTTTTTAAAGTGCTTATGGACGGTCTTGTGCTGATTAGATTTTCCTCCATTAGCACACAACAAATTCATAAACTACATTTATTGTTGCCACCTTGTCTTTTAAGTTTTTCCTTATTATTGCAAGGAAAAGCTATCCACTCTTTGGCGAACATTTCACATTACTCAAACACCGTCTGTTTTCCGATTAAATATTTCATTACTAGGATGGTAGTTTGAGCTACCCCTGCTTTCCCTTTGTCTAGACGTGAGGATATCCATGGTGTGTTGAACATATTTTTATGTCCACATATGCATCCCTGGATGAAAGTACTTTTGTATTTCTTCTATAGATGCATGTTTGAAAAGACGCATGTTGTACTTAGTGTCATTATTTGAGTGAGTATATACGTGATTGAGGCATGGGAAAGTGCTATGCATGAGTTTTTTTATTTTATAGATTTATGTGCTTCTTGACAGTCTTGTCCTGATTAGTTCTCCATCAGCAAATCATAAGCTACATTTACGTGTGCCAACTTGTCTTTTTAGTTGTTATTTAAGCGTATGTTTTGTTGATTCAATATGTTAAGCATATATCAGATCTTCATGCATGTGCTTATTGACGGTCTCGTGCTGATTAGATGTTCCCATCAGCACATAACATTATCATAAGCTACATTCACTTGTGTCAACTATTTTAGTTTTTCCTCATGGTACATAGGAAACGCTTTCCTTGCTTTGACAGACATTTTCATAACTGTAACTTATTTACCATAGGAAACCTAGTCCACGTAAAACAGACAGACAAGAGACAACGTAAGAACAAAATTATCATGACATGGGCTTATGATTTCATTTCATCTTTCATCGTTGAGAGAATCTCATTTCTTCTTATAATTGATGTTTTCGAGGTGTTAGTTAATTAAGAAAGAACAAACGTCATGCATAAAGAATCTCTGTATCACGTAATTATAATTAATTCGATGATTACGTTTATGGAAATTGAGATTGATTTGAATTTCGAACAGGACGACCGAAGCTAAGACATGATATAAGAACATGCGAGTACGAGGACGTGCATGTGATGTGGAGGATGCTCAACCCTAATGACAGATCAGAGACCATTCAATTGGGAGGAGGAGTAACGCCCAAGAGGAAACGTTTTTCCAATTTGTTCGATTGGATTAAACGAGCTCCATCGGTTTGCCGTGCCTTCTGATTTCTGATGTGTTTTTGGATCATATATATGTCAATATTCTACCATGTTTCAGCTCACAAATCGTTTTCTGGAAATTATGGTGGAAGTTATATTTTGGTATCTGTTTCGTCTTCTTCCAATGACGTCAGTGGTCGGCGGCCGGCCTGTGTTTTGTAGATATCAACGGTTCATATGTGTATTCTCTCTTCTTGTTATTAAATAAACTTAACTTGATTGTATGTTTGTGTATGTTGTGTTGGACTCTTATATTTGTCTACAAGTTTTTAGTGGTGCCAATCATCAAACTAGTTGAATGATGTCATGCATTTATATAAAAGAAGTGCAAAGCAATGAAAGTAACGATTAGAATAATAAGAGCATCTTTGAAGGAGAATAGTAAGATTTTTAAAGTGACGGATTAACTGAAAACGTGAGGATCTTGGTTTAAACAGGTAAATCAAAAATAAAAAGTGAATTTCAGCACAGATTCTTGTGTCATGCTGCATGTGTCATGTTATATGTTCACTTGATACACACACTTGGTATGCATTTTGGTGGAAGATAATATAAGGAGTCTCGCTAGTGTATTTTAAGCGGACAAATGATGTGCCATGAGCGATCACCCTAAACTTAAGAATTTCTGGCCTAATCCAGCATTAAATATGGACTGAATTCAAACTAAGCCTCAAAGGATTGCGTTAAACTAAGAGCAGTTCCATCTAGTCATTTAATATTACGCTCTAGTGGTATTCATCTTCACTTGTAAGTGAGAAGTCTGAGGTTCGATTATCACCAAAAAAAAAAATTAAACCACATTATTGTTAGTCTATTATGAGATTAAGTTCACCTCCCTCTCTCAAATAATATCGTTCATTCCAAAAGAAAAAAAAACGCAGTTCCACCTTACAATTGGCGCCCAAATTGCTAAAGCAATTGTGCAATTATTGCCTAGAAGACCAAAAACTTTGCTTCAGCCCATAGAAACAGTCTGGTAATTACTGGGCCCACAGTTCCGGACTACTCAATCGGGCAAGTATTTCTTGTTGAATAAGCCCAATTGAAGGCTTGGTTGGCAATTACTCAAATACCCAATCCATGAAAAATGAGAAAAATGGAACATCACGTGCCGGTTGGAGGATGAAGCGCCCCGTTATAAGGAGGCGGCAAGAATGTTTAAAACGCCTCGTTTTGTGCCTAGTGCTGTATAAATAACAACGTTTAGCAATTGCAAGTCACAAGGATTAGGGTTTTAGGTAGCCATCGTATCCTGGCAGCTGGAGAGGCGACGCAGAAAACCCTAGCGAGATTCAAAGATGGGACACTCGAACGTATGGAACTCTCACCCCAAGAACTACGGCCCCGGTTCCCGCACTTGGTATGATTCTTCATCCCCAAATCTCACTTATTTTTTCTTAATTATTTTACCGATAATGTGCAATTAATCGCCATTTCCTTGCTCGAGATTTAGCTTATGTAAGAATTTACTTCGTTGAAATTATAGCTTGGTTATGCCATTGTTTATGGTTAAAAATTACCAGAGATTTTGAGTTTGTTTTTGCTTAATCACTCTCAAGAATCTTTAAGTGTTTTTATGATTTATTTTATTTTTGGGTTTGTAAGTGTATCTGGTGGACAATGTGTGTGATATGGAAAACTTGCTTGTTAATTTGAACAGCCGAGTGTGTGGAAACCCTCATGGGTTGATCCGGAAGTATGCGCTGATGTGCTGCAGGCAGTGCTTCCGCAGCAATGCCAAGGAGATTGGCTTCATCAAGGTATGAATTCAATTTATTTAGTCTTTTTTGTTTTGTTTTTTTGTTTGTGTTTTGATTGTATATGGCTTCTGCCCTTGCGGCAGTGCTAGCTGTTTAAATAAGAGTAATCCAAACTACTACAGGATACAGTTAATGAGTCTATGTCTACCTGCATTGGGGTTTTTCTGTACAACTATTGATATATTGTCCCTCCTTTGAAGGGGATATGCTCCACTGTTCATGGAGCGGGATATGTTATCACCCGTATATCTCCGATATAACACGTGTATTTGTCATATGTAGTGTACGTGTATAACACATGGATAAAACATATGTAGTGTACGTGTGGTATATGTGTGAGTAATAACATGTCTCGCCTGATTAACTGTGGAGCAGAATACTTGCTAAAAAGCTAGTAATATATATATATATATATATATATATATATATATATATATTATATTTATATCCACATACAGAGAGTACACACACATATGTACATATACATATAGTGGTATATTGCATGTGTGGAGTTTAGACACTAAATCCAAATCATGGAGTCCATGTCAAAGATCTCTAGGTCCAAGAAAATCAGTTTTGAGTTGATTGAGATGTGATCATCCATAACCCGACAATCCTCCCAACAGTATTCCTGTTCTCCTGCTGTTGCATTATGTTTGATTATTTGATTGTCAAGTTGTACCATATATATCCTAAGCACCGTACAATAAAAAAAAAAAGATTTGGGTTTGGACAAGGTCTTTGGTGTCATTAAATTTTTGACGCGTTTTGTGTGTATTCTATTATAGAAATCCAATTTTATGTAAAACATAAGTCTCAGGATGATATTTTCTTCAATGGATGTTAATACGTATGCACTATGAATGCAGTAACTGTTACTTATCACAAATACACACTTTTTTTCTTCTTAATATTACATTAGTTTGTAAAGTGCTTATGGACGGTCTTGTGCTGATTAGATTTTCCTCCGTTAGCACATAACAAATTCATAAGCTACATTTATTGTTGCCACCTTGTCTTTCAAGTTTTTCCTTATTATTGCAAGGAAAAGCTATCCACTTTTTGGCGAACATTTCACATTACTCAAACATTGTCTTGTTTCCGATTAAATATTTCATTACTAGGATGGTAGTTTGAGCTATCCCTGCTTTCCCTTTGACTAGACATGAGGATATCCATAGTGCATTGAACATACTTTTATGTCCACATATGCTTCCCTGGATGAAAGTACCTCTGTAGTTCTTCTATAGATGCATGTTTGAAAAGACTCATGTTGTACTTATGGATGGCTAGTGTCATTATTTGAGTATGTACGTGATTGAGGCATGGGAAAGTGCTCTGCATGAGCTTTTTTTTATTTAGATTTATGTGCTGATTGACAGTCTCATGCGGTTTGGTTCTCCATCAGCAAATCATAAGCTACATTTACGTGTGCCAACTTGTCTTTTTAGTTGTTCTTTAAGTGAATGTTTTGTTGATTCAATATATTAAGCATAAATCAGATCTTCATGCATGTGCTTATTGACGGTCTCGTGCTGATTAGTTGTTCCCATCAGCACATAACATTATCATAAGCTACATTCACTTGTGTCAACTATTTTAGTTTTTCCTTATGGTACATAGGAAACGCTTTCCCTGCTTTGACAGACATTTTCGTAACTTTAAAAACATGTTCTATATGCTTTCCAGTATCACTCTTGAATATTATGGCTTTCAAGTATCACCCTATACTTTCACTTTGTCAGGCTGTTTTTGTTTTCGTGTCTTGCTGACATTGTTCAATGGAATAGGTTATTTTTGTCAAAATTTCCCTAGTACGTTCTGTTTGTTGATCTTTGAAATTCTTTCACTTGGGTTTTGTTGATGCTGATGTGATTTGAGATCTTATTACTGACTGTTGTAAATCAAACTGTGATCTTACAACTATCAATGATGACTAAATATAAGGCTTGTTTCTCAAGAACATTCGCAGTGGCCGCCTAAGAGCTTTCGCCTTTTGCGAGGCTTGAGAGCTAATGATGCTTTATCTTCCTTGGATGTCTGAGATTTGGATAATTAGGATTATCCACCCTTCTATAAAGCTACCTTGCTTGTTATAAATTTGTGTATGTCTGTCCATGTCTTGAATTTGGACACGTACTTATGCTGTGTTGTATCTTCATTGCAGTACCGCTAAATGGAGAGACCACCTGATTCAGATTGGCCACCAAGTCGTCTGAAGTATGGAGCTCGGGATTGTTTTCGTTGTTGGTGCCTTTTCATTATCTTATCTAAGACCATAATGTAGGATAAAGTTTGACAATTAGTTGTTGACTGAGCCATTGTTGAAACTATTTGATGCATCTGACTTTTGTTATCCAGTGGGCTGGAGTGGTTTTAGGACAAGGATTGTCTGCCCACCCTTTTTTCATGCCCTTCCATGCCTTCCTATTTGTGTGGTCACAGTTAAGTCACGTCAACATTTTATATTACTATTCATTTTTGTCTTATTATCTTTATAAAAAAAATAATATAATAACGTGGTTTAATCGTGACCACACAAAACAGAATGGCATGGAAGGGCATGAAAAATGGGAGGGCTGACAGTCATTGTCCGTGGTTTTGTCATTAACCTTTCTAACTTGCTTCCCCAGAAAGTTCGATTCGTCTGACTCGATTGTTAATCCTGACTCCTTAGGTGGTTTTGATTAGATTTGATGGTAGTAGAATAGCGAATGATGAATGTTATCGCACATACGTATGTTGGTTTGAGTCCATACTCTGTTGTCTCATTTTCTTGGTGAAGAATTTAAAACAAGACGTGTAATGAGAAAGGTTACGCCCATGCGATGGTCAATTCATGGTGATGATGGGCGTCCGCACATCATCTTTGATTAATGCAAAAGATGTATCAATGTGGTATTTCGTCGGGGTCGATGCGGTGCTTCAATGTCAATGATGACGATCAACATTTAGCCATCCATTTGTTTGTCTTAGATTTGATCATTGTAAATAGCGAGTTTGTAGCTATTTATTATCAATATCCATTATGATTTAGCTGGAATCTCTCACTGCCTAAATATATCATTATAATGAAATAATATTAAAAAATGGATAAACATTAGGAGTGAGCAATGTTTGGCTTTATTATTAGAAACACAAAACCGAATTAAAAAGAAAAAGAGAGAGAAAAAAAATAGGAAAATCAAGAGAACAGATGGAGGTGCGGGGAATCGAACCCCGTGCCTCTCGCATGCGAAGCGAGCGCTCTACCATATGAGCTACACCCCCTTGATGCTAACCATCCATTACCAAATACATGACAATTATATACTTGTTTAAGGGTTATTTTTACCGTGCAAATGGCGCTCTGCCAAATGCGGCAGACGTGCCCAAAAGCTCACCTTCCACGGCAACCCTATGAACACTGAAGCCTTTTCATTCCCCCACCCGACACTGTTTCCTTTCTCTTTCTGCAAACACAGTAAATGCTCT